TGTTTATTGACTTTTTAACCACCTATAGTTCCTGTTTGGCATTTACTCATCGTTTTCTCCCCACTAATAACTTACCTGGCCCTTAGGAAACGTCCATGGAAACGAAACTTTTTCATCAAATTTGATTGCTGATTTTAAGACTCCTTACAATGCTTGTTTTCTGTGTGAAATTTGGTACACTTTGGTAAAGGGGGCTTTTGTGGCATAGAGGATAAGGTGTTGGCCTCTCATTCAAAGGTCACGGGTTCGAATCCGGGTAGCGACCGAAAAATTTTCTTCTCTAAATTTGTCTCCTTTCCCGTCATTTCCTGCCTTCTAGCAATGTTCTATCATCTGCTTTCGTCTCCTCTTTCTGCTCCCACCCCCTCACCACCTTTGCCCCTTCCTCTGGGCTCCTGATTCTTTCTGCAGCCTTTCTCCTGCTACTCCTTCGCTTCTTCTTACTGCTGTCTTTCAGTCACACCCCTGATCTTTTGGTAGGAAAGATCTACACCTTGCCTTCTCGGACAAGGGCAAAATCTCGGAGGGCACGTGAGCAAGTTGCGCACGTTAAAGATCCCTTGTTGGTCTAAAATCGATAAGAGTAGGCTTCGGCCACCACCCGGGCAAAACTCAAAATTTCCTTCCAACTGAAAATATTAGGTGTGTCCCGCGCGCTCATATGACCTTATGCAGTTGCGAGCGCCGTAAAACACTTTACAAAAACAAAAAACAAAAAACTTGTATAGCCCTAGTTCTAAGCTCCAATTGCCCCCCACCCTTATTGAACTGAACAATCTTTAGCCCTACAGTTATCATGATTTCTTTTAAAGTTTTCCTTTAGTATTGGGTTGTTCTCATGGTAAGTAAAGTGTACTCAAGCATTTTTCTTGTGATGTTTGTGTTATTCTGTGAAAGAATGCTCTGCAACAAGGTTCGAAAAGCTTAAGCATAATATCAAACAAACAATAATTATTGATAATTGAGCGGGGATATGCGCTATACAAATGCTATCTATTATTATTATTATTA